CCACAAGCGCTGGCAGGAGCTTCTGGAGGCGCGGCGCTGGTCCTGGTGGCTTCTGGTGCAGGAGAGGGGGTTTATCTGGTGGGTTCTGGTGAAAGGTTTAGGGGTGGAACTTGGAACCCATTCAGATCATCTAGCGACATATTCTGAACTATCAATGTGTGTTTGCTGAATTAACTTGCACAGTGGTTGCAAGCGTTCCAGCGTCACTGGGAGCGCCTCCGGTTTGGTTCGCGCAATGGTGTGGCTTGATTTGTGGCTATTCACATGAATGTGGAAATGCACCCCAGGCCTTGTTGGGCAACTTTGGATGGTTTTACGCGTTGAAACAATTTGATTGTCCTTCTTTGCGAAAGGGGTTTGCTGCAAATTGAGGCCAGAGGTTTTCCAACCATTGATTATTGATTCGCTGAAGAATGATATTTTGGGCGGGAAGAAGGCGAAGGAGAGTTTGGGCACGAAGAAGGCAAAGGACATTTTTGGATTGGAAGACGGCGAAGAAGGAACATTGAAAAAACAAGCGTTTCAGTCAAACAATTGGAGGACTTAAACGTTTCACCCTGACATTTTCACGATTTCTTCCTTTGCCTTCTTGCCGTCCAAAATCTCTTCCTCTTCTTCCCGTCCACCGTTTTAGAAACCATGTGAAACGCTTGTTTCAGAGGTTTCCGTGACAACCGTGCAATGTTTTAAACATATAGGCTTTAAACAGAACATGTTTTTAAAACTATTTGTGGTGCACCGTAAACACAATTTTCCAACATGTCAATACATACTCGCTGAAGATGAGATTACCTTTGGGGGAGCAGCACAAACCTTGGCACACCATGCAGTTTATCTCGGCCTTCTTGGATAAGTCCAAACAAAGTTTTGAAACATAGACATGGGCATATAAATAATTAATGTATAATTCAGTCTCCAAAGTAAATACCGTCAATGAGTCAATGATCTCCAATAAACATGTTCCCACCTTCACATGTTTCACGTGGTTGTTCGATGTTTTTCATGCTTCAAGAGCCGTGCATGTCCAGGCAAATGCACCAACGAAGGAACCTGCGACAGCTGGGGTGCCCAGATCCGGTTGGTACAGCTCGTTTCAGAGGGGAGACCCCTACTCGATGATACTACCCCCATCTACCTTCCTGCAAACTAACATTGAACCTGAAAATTGACCCATGGAAGAACAGTATGCAACACCGTGGTGACACGGGGGGGCCCATGTAGGGAGTACCAATATGTTTTTCTCAGGTGATACCCCCATGCCCTTCAGGGACCTGGCATTATCTGGCCTTGACCTCTCCAGAGGAGAAACAAACGTGACGCGACCGGAAAACTTGCCACCACAAGCCGGAACAAGCCATGTCAAGGGCGATTTGCTCATGTCAGCAGACAGTCATTCTGCCCAAAGACGCCCAGGTCGACAAAGGTTAACCGGTTATATAACCGCATTTTTTCCATGGTTTCCTTGAGGGTGTCAGAAAAGACATCCAACAGATTTCGAGATGCGGGTCAGACCGGAACATGGCTGATAAAGAGGTTACCCAAAGATACCCAAAGTAAGTTCTTAAAGTGTGAGGGTCAGTCATTTTTTGATCGATGATAATAAGAAACTTCGTCAGCCTGGGCGTGAGCTGCGCCTTTGCTGAGATGGGGGATTCCTTGTTTTTGTGTCGGAATTCAATCAGTTCTACCTGAAACGACACTGAGCGTCGACCACTGGGAAGACATTTCTACAAATCAGCGGTTGTTCTGAGCAAACCAACTTCTTCAGTCTATCCATTGAAATCCCTTCATTTCGATATCACTTATCGGGATTTTTCACATCTTCAGAACGATCAACTCAGCCACGCGCCAGCCAATTCAATAGAGTGAAGGGGACGATCAACTTCATATTGGAAAGTAGGATGGGAGGTCAACTGTGAAGGTTCTTGTCGGATGCTGAGCAGGTAACTTTGGTTACATGTGCCATTGTTCAAACATGGTTTCAGAGTATATAGATGGCACCATCTCCAAAAGGTTGCTTATATGGACCCCAATATCAAAAGACATTTAGTGGGTTTTGTGCCATATACTTCTTGAAAACCACTATCCATGGACCCAGTGCAGACGGACTTGGCCATCTGGTCCTTGCCGAGTCGCCGGCTTCTCGGATTTGGCCGGCCGAGTCGCCGCCGGAGAACCAAGAGAACCCCAATGACGTGGGCAATCGTCCAAAAGGCGTGGACAAGGCGTGGGGCATCGAACGGAGACGTCGAGGGGGTGGTGGAGACGCATTTGAAGGGCCATGCCGGGTCTGGTGCATGCGCTGCACGGAAGCCCACGCCGTTTGGGATTTTTGTTGTGCTGCAAGACTTGCAAGTTGGTCTTTCAGGTCTCGTGGCCTGGCCCCGCCGGTTGGCATGAACGGTTCTCTTCGACACCTGACTGGGGAGACCTCCCCCGACCAGCAGGGCTGGATATGTTCTGATGGAGCCGAATGGTATCCTAAGCCCATCCTTGCCCAAAGAATCCACCTGCTTCACATATCCCTATAGAATTCCAACTTACTGTAGGGGTATAGTCTTTGTAATAGTCTTCGCCAAACAACCAGTGTTTTTTGCTAAGATTCTAGACCACAAAAGAAGGTCTTGAAGGCCAGAGATGTGCCTATGAGAAGAACTCAACCATGTCAATGTACTGTATAGATCACGCTTCCATGCTCTCATGGTCCCACAAGCTTGTGTGCTTCTCTAGACCTTTATTTATGGTCGGGCCCACGAGTCAATCCCACGAACTGAAGACAAAAGAAGCCTCCAAGGATTTGCCTTGCTCACCACTTTTTTAACATCATCCAGATTTCATCCTGAAAACCACCGGATTCCCCTGTTGTCGTCCCCACCCGACTTGGGATGCCAGGAGAGCGAATCCTAGGCCGGGTGCGGGTCCAGTCGTGCAGCCTGCCGTGCGGTGTGGAAGTCACGTAGAAAGGTGATGCCTTTCAGGTGGAGAGCCGTTCTCTTTCTGGCGATTCCAGAACTTTCGAAGGAACTGTGTTCTCTCGGCCGTTTGCCAAGCACCAAGAGCTCCCTCCAGCTGACTCCAGCTTCAAACTTCTCCCAGTCGCGCCACAGCTCTGGGCTCCGCCACTTCTTTCGCAGGCAGCCAGTGTTGAAAGAGGGGGGGCGTGGCCAGTTCCTGCACCGCTGGACACATGGCACGCGGTGTTCGTCGGCGATGGCGGCAAGCGAGACCAATGGGCGTTTCTCGGCCCCACCACGGTGCCCAAGTGATACGTTTTGAATGATCCACTGCAAGTCACTGCATGTTAGCGTTCTTTTCAAGCACAAGCTCATATTATGTGAAAATATGTGAAAGATGACGTGCTGGCTGGCTGTTAGACGTGGATTGAAAAATCCCTCCCCGCCCCCCAGCATAACTCCTGACTCAATGCCAAAAAGACAATCTTGTGAGAAAGCCTCCAGGGGAAAAACAAAACACACACAACAACATCACCAGAATTGGTCATTGAGCCGTGGCCGTTGTTTGCAGAGGGGGTGTGAGTCGACCAACCTTCCAAGGGCTCACCGGTTGCCCCCATCGCTCGCAGCCTGACTGGAAGCCCGTTATGTCGGTGCAGCCATTATGACTGTCCAAGGGCTGTTCCAACGCTTGCGCGAAGAAAACAGTGTCTAGAGCAAGGCCAGTTGGATTCATGGAATCAGAGTGTGGAATGGCAGCAAACTAATAAGTTCATTCCCGACCTCGTCGCTTTAGGACCAGATGTTGTTTTGGTTTGATGAATGTTGGGGCAGTTTTATTGGCACTTGGACCCAATGGGGCCTCGTGCACAAGGTGCATCCAAGTCCAACCTTTCTCGCTGAATGAATTCGCTGCATCAGGAGGAACTGAGCCGTGAGCACCTGTTGGTTCTATTATGTTCTATTGTGTGTGTGATTCGTTGGATCTGAAGAGCATTCAAGCTGATCATCAGCCTTAGACTCTGCTTTCTGCTTTCACCGAGCTGAGTCTGCGACAACTTACGGCCGGACCGAGCCTGATGCAAGCCATGTTGCACGATGCCTGCTCACTTCACATCCAATGTGAGAACCTGTTGCCCCAAGAGCCAATTCCTCGAGGGGGGGTGCCCAATTTGTTGCTTTCCCTGTTGGCCCGTTCCGAGACACGTCAGACACCGGGAATGTTTGGCTCGGGCCGGTGCGATTGTTGGCCCCTCCCAGCTCCCAGAAGTCTAGATCCACCAGATGAAACATGGCTTTTGGAAGCGCAGGTGGTGCATCCCAAGCGCTCAAGAACAAAACAGCTGGTCACTCGAACTCAGTTCGGACGGGTTGAAGTCAAGATGGTCACCGGTGTTTCTGTTTGAGCACCATGTCGAAGCTGATGATGCGTGCGAGGAGCTATTACTACTAGTATCACTACGTATACTAATGTTTGCAAACCTACCAGGAAGGGAAGGAGGAGTTTAGTTGGTCTATGTCCGTTGTACGTTGTGTGTTTCCCATGACCTGTAACAGTCAATAACAGATGACTAGACTATATATATATTCTTGAGAAAGGCCCTTACTAACCATCATCCACTGGACCCAGGGAATGGGATACACCCAACGTATACGTTTGACTGGAACCGAGGGGGTTACAGTTACACATACTGTTGGAAGCTTTGTTGGAGGGGGTCCACCGCGTTTTTGTTGGGGGACATGCTTGTGAGCCTGGCAGCCGCCTTTGGCGGAGCATGCCATGGTTAGGACCAGAAATCACGAATGATGCAGGGAGCAGATGTGGCCCTGAATGATCTAAACAAACAACTACAGCATCCATTTCAATCAACTTCATGTCGGACACCCGGAAATGCGGTATCATTTTTACGGCCTTCATTTCACTGCACAATATGCAACAAACACGCTATATGTTTTTACTGTATTAGGTACTCAGCTGTCACCTTCATTTAGGAAATGATGCAGTTTCTCGTAACAGCCCGCGAATCCCTTTTTTCTCCCTGGAAGGCACCCGCTGCTGGCGCGAGATTGGAGAAGGAAGCCAAGGCTGCCTAAACGTCACGAGTGTAGATACCTATGCCATCTATGCCTCATGCAAGGACCTCCATTCACAACGCCGAGCATGGGTGCTGGTTTTCATGGCACAGCGGTAGGTCTTAAATTAGGTTGTTCGTCTGCAATGGAAATACATCGTGCCATCATCCTAGATCTAGAAACATTTGACAAAGGGAGCGGTGCTCCAGAGACTTTTGGCCACGGCCCAGCTCTTTGTTTCGATGGCATCCCACGGCCGAAATTTCAAGACTGGAAGCAATCAACCTTGGCAGCATTGGACAGCGCTCAAAACGGTCGAACCAAACAGCCCCCCGAAGAGTCCAAAAGTGTTCAGAGGATGCACGTCTTAAGCAAATCATACCAGCCTTGCTTGGCCTCGCCGATCCTCTCCCGCCCTCCTAGCCAGGCTGCTTTGGGACCCGAGGCGTGTCTTCAAAGCCGACCGATTGCGAGGGGTCGTCGACTTGCGAGTCGGGTCTGTCCCAGTAAACGAATCACAGTCCGTAAAGGAGAACATCACTCTTTTTGAGATGGAAAGGCCTGCAATAACCAAACCATCATTTGCACTCTAAAGACCATAAGTTTTAGAGTCTTTAACTCTCAGGGTGTACCTTGGTTGACCTACCTTGGACCTTGGAGGTCTTTCACTGTATCATTGCGTCAAGATCCTTGCAGGCGAAACCCGATGACGGAAAGATTGCGACTGATGTGGCGGGGCTCTCAGGAGTGCTCTTGGCATGGCTTTGGCGTGGTTTGGTGTTGATCCGAACAAATATATCTGCAGTTCGGGTCAGATTTTGATTACTCACCTGCTGTCACTATGAGATACACTCACCCTCGCAGAGGTGCGCGGAAACTGTTGTTTCTTCGGTGGTTTGAGATATGTGTATGTCATGGTCACCGCCTTTGAGATGATTGATCCCTTTGAAGGAAGAAACCACCTCAGAGTTTCTTCCTCTTGGGTTGCTCTGTCACCCGTAGGTCGCTTCTCGTCATCGCCTTGTCTTGCTGAAGGATGAACTTGCTTAATCAGGACTCTCAGAGAACCTTGCTTAGTTGTCTCGTGAGAATGGACATCCCTCTATGTCTAAGGCTATGTCTATAGGTGTCTTCGATGTTCTCCCAGGGCTGTCTGCGGGGGCTTCGAACACAAGCACAGACCGACCGGATGTGGGACCCCGGAGGTTACTTTGCGCTGGCTTTGGATGTGGGACAAAGAGCCCTTACAGGAACGGTGATCAGGAAAACGAAAAAGGAACTCTTAAGGAACGGTTCCCCAGCTTTGTTGTTGTGCTCTGTGGTTAGTTGGATGTGCTTGGGCTTATTATCCAGCTTGGCTAGTCGCTTGGTTTGTCCAGGTGGCCTTGCGTGCCCTTTCGTTAGCTATAGCTTGCTTGCCCGTTGGCTCTTGGTTCGCTTACTTGCCCTTTGGTTAGGCTGTCTTGCCATATGGCACTGCAGAAAATGCATGAAGAAGAGAGGTCGGTCAACACCATGGAGCCATCGGTCGCATACCTCCCGATGCTGTTCGAGATCCATTGAGAGAAGAATGCACTTTGAAATGATTTGAAGAATCACCAAGAAAGTGGAAACCTTGGCTTCCACCTGGGCAAGCTTCCTACACTTGTTGTGCTGGCCGTAAGCTTAGTCGGCCGGCAAAGTGAGTCATTGACTCTGGGCCCACAGCTCAGAACCTCAACGATTGTGACGACAAGAGCTAGATTCAAACAACAAAAAAGGAACACATACCTGTACCTTTCAAGGGGTGGTTAATGGAGATCCCTAAGTAGTTTGGGGTAGTCTATTGGAGACCCCTTTGAAGGTGCTGGTATTATAGTCACATATGCTGTTTTAACAGATTTAGGATATATGTTTAATGTAATTATAGACTGTCATAGTCATAGACTGTGTAAACAAAAAGGTTTGGCACGCGATCTATATAGATACATAGCAAGGACTTGCCTTCTCGGACTCAGGTGGAGTTCGCACCTGCGGAGCCCCAACCACCGCGCGACGACATCATCGCAGGTGCGCCATGACGAACCCAGTTCGCGGTGACACCAGTTGAGGTCAGCGTTTTGCACTTTGATTCACTCATATATTCACTCACATGGAAGATGGGTTGCGTGTTTCGTTGCAAACCGGAGGTCTTCAATCCATACGATATATAAAAATTAATATATATATTGTGTAATATTGTGTCTGGTACAAAGTATATACGGTGTATAACGGTACGGATAGTTGTACACCTACTACTTGCTTCGCTTCGATCAACTTTAGCTCAGTTTGTCCCAGCACTGGTCTCATCCGAGGGTCGGGGGATACACGGTGTGTCCGGTGCTCGGGGTGCTCGTCATAGGAGTCGGATCCAACGATGAGGCGCTGGGGATACACGTGGGCTTGGACTCGGCAGCGCGGACGTTGGATGTGTGTGTTGTGTTTAATACACCCGGGGTTATGAAGAGATGAAACCTGAAAATGGACCTTTGGAAGACTCTTGTTGAACGCCCACTTCCATGTAGGGTGATGTGTTCGTCGGAGACACGTTCCGATGGTTTACCTCACTGCTGGTCGAAATTGGTTCTGCTGCACGATCGTAGGAGAAAGGTTGGGGACAAATCTGGTGATCAGTGATCTGGTGATTATGGTCATTGCAGATGAAAGAGTTGTGATGAAATGGTTCTGCAGACGATTCGTTTGAAGAGTCCTGAACTGTCCCGATTGAATGTATGTTGCTTCAGCGACTGCGCAGTTTTGACAGATGGTTTGTAATATGGCAAGATGGTATGTTTGGGAATGTTTGGGATGAATGATGGGCTCCCTGACAAAAGAATCATGGAAGTGGATGACATGGCCCCATGATGACCATCTTCCGACTACGCGATAGGTCGTGCCATCCACGTCCATGATCACTTGGAGTGTGCCTGCTTGAAATGCCACTTACGAAGCTCTTCCTCAAATCTGGCCAGGCACTGCTCGGTAGGCTCTTGGCTTTGGAAGCAGAAGTGCTCAGGCTACAAGGCACGGAACCGAGAGCTGCGAACCGAGAGCTATGAGACGTGGTGCTTCCAGGCTTCTTGGGTGGCACACGTTCTTTCCTTTTAAGGGCACACCTGCAGTACATGTTGGGAATTCATCCTGGCCGTTTTCTTGTTCCCAACAGAATCCTGACAAAGCCTGGTGATTCGTGAATGGTGAATGATGCCCCCCATGCGAAAAAGTGCTGAAGCACTTCTGGATCTAAGCGCCTCTAGATCCAATGGGTTTGCTACTCTTTTCTACTCGTTTTCCGATTGATCGCCAACAATGCTTGGGAGAGAAACTCACCTCAGGAAATGCAATCGTTATTTCCTTTTTTCGGGGGGTGGTTGGCCCAGTGGTCGGGCTTACTGTAACAAAACATAGACATAGGCGCAGCCGTTTGAGTGTGGGACATGAATTCGATCAGCATAACCTATAGATGCTTCAATTCTCAAATTGGTGTCTAGGTACGACTGCACGTAGGGATTTGCGGGTGCCGAACTCATATCTTGAAATGGCCATGGCGGACGTCAATCTTGAAGTACATTTCTTCATCCAACACATGAGGTCACCTACCCTCAAACATCCTGCTGTTGGGACTACGATGTTATCCTTCTGAACTCATACACCGAACCCTTAACACAACCCCAGCTTCTCCGAACGTCGCACGGCGAACATGCGTGGCCTCTTTGCCTTTTAAAAGGTGGACGGTTTGTTTTGCCTTTGTCCTTTCCCAGGCGAACGTTTCCCACAACCTGTCGAGTCTCCTGGCGGCAGGCCGTGGGCTTCGGCTCTTTGGTCCGATCCACCCGGTGCGGTCGTGTCGGTCTTGTCACCCAGGAAAAGCGGGTTGAGGGGGAGAACACCCCGCTCAAATCCAGGTAGAAAGTGTGGTGAACCTTCACTTTCCACAAAAAACCTGGATTCAGGATATATGCTGGAGATCATGCGAGGTCGCACGGTGTTTGTTGTTTCGTCGGATGCCAGGATGTACGGTGAATTGTGGCGAACGGCGCCGCAAACACGGATGAAACTGGGCAGTATACTGAGTGGCTTCAGCTGAGCTGGACACTTGCCCTGGCAGCCATGCCCCATCCTGGCGGGTGCATCGGACGAACTCTCCATGTTGCCGAGCTCGTGCTGTTTGTGCAGGCAGCCAGAGATGAGTGAAAGTCCCAGACGTTTCTCGGCGGAGAGGGGGGGGTTTGGACACTTGAATAGGTCCTTTCGAGTGAATGCCCCTACTTGGCCTGCATGGGACTGCAGCTTCCAATGCTTTTGTGAATTTGCATGTAACATTTCTCAGGCCTGTCTATAGAATGGGCCTTGTGCTGGGTGTTCCTTTTCTGCTGGCAACATGTCTTTGTCTTTTGCGAGATCTTTGGTTCCAGAGCAGTGACTCAGTCATTTTTGTTCAGGAGATTGTTTGCTGTTATTGGCGAGACTTCTCACAAGATTAGGAAACGGGAAAGGGGAGGGGAGTGTAGAGGAGAGACGGAGACTGTAAATAAGTCATGAGTATTGCAGCAGTGAATTTCTATGGCAAAACAGGCGTATTCATGCGGCAAGAACTTCTTGGGTGAGTCATGCTTGAGCTGAACACCATGTATTTTCACGATAGGTTGGGCTTGCAAACAATTCAAAAGTGCAGCAGCTCCCCACCCCCACAAAGCAATTGAAGCAAGGACATATCTTTGGCTAGTCACGTTTTATTTGTTGCCCTGGCTTCTTGGATGCCTTAGGATTTGGCACCTCCCATCGCTACCCAGACCTCGATCTGACCCCTGTTTGGACCGGACCATGTTTTGGCTCCATTTGCCCTCCTCACTGAGCTGCACCAAAAGGCCCCAGCCCGCATGGCGAGGGCGAGCAGCGCCCGACAGAGGTCGGTCAGCCGGGCGAAGAGGAAGTCGGTCTGTGGTTGCCAAAAACTCATATGAATGGCGCCCTGAAAGACTGGTTTTCCTCTACGAACCAGCCAGGAGAGGTTGAGAGACCTTATAGGAACCTGTAGTGGTACATATATAATATATATATATATGATGGGCGACAAAGGGCTGCTCAACCTCTCTAGGAGTGGTTGTCTTCAGAGTCTTTGTCTTCAGGGCTAGGGATTCAATCGCTGATTGGTCTCAAGAGGCGATTTCTTGGGGTGCGGTGATCGGATGTTGACGCTTGGTGCCAGGGTGCGCAACATGAACCGGAGTTCTTAGCCCTGTTGTGTAGAGTTTGTTTAAACATTGATGTGCTGCACACTGTTTCTGAACAGTCAAACAATGTCGACAAGCAAAAACTTGAACATCATCTAATTACCATTATCTACCTACCAGCTGGCTCGATGACGTAGCTGTGTTCACACATCCCTATACAACTCAATTAACATTCCTTTTGCACCGACCACACAGAAGAGGGCGCAAACCAGACGCATGTTGATGCTTTTGACATTTTGGGGTAGGCAGCTGCAGATGCATGTTCATAGAGGCCCAGTTGCATTTGCATGCATTTGCTAGTTCCATTACCTCATTGCCGCACCGAGCACCCCGCCATCAGTTGCCCATGAGCTCCTTGGGCTTGAGCCTGCTGTCCAACAGCTCGTTGCCAGAGCCTTTGTGGGGAAGGCCTCGGGCATGTTGCGAGGTAAATGCTGAGTCTCATTCCCACCCGTTTCTTGCGCCCACTAGGTGCTTTTTGTGTGCAAATGCTTACCAGGTACCAGCCACAGCCTTCTGAAGAGACAGAGAGAGAGAAGGAGACAATTAAATTGGATCTCTTAAAAGGTGTGTCCTTCTACAGTCATGGGATGCATTTGTATATCCATATGCGTGGGTGGGTGAACTGTTTTTTGTCTACAAGTGTTCTCTTTCGATTTGACACAAGGTTCCTGTTTCTGATTTGCTTTGTGATCTTCAAGATGTTGTGGTGTTTGGCTTGCTAAGAACTTTAGCATGATTCTGCGTCCAAAAAGCATCCGCCTGAGGAAAGTCACATTTGCTCACGGAATCAAGGTCTTCAACGTTTCTCCAATTTGTATTCAAGGGATTGATTTCAGGATTCAGGATATTCAGGTAGTGATGGACCTTCAATAATACGGCTGCCCCTAGCAAACGATTGAGGGAGTCTGAAAAGAATGAGTTCCCCCAAAACTAATTGTAGTATCAGCAGCGGTTGTAGTAGCAGTAGCAGTAGTCTTAGTGGTAGTGGCAGTGGTAGAGGTGGTGGTAGTAGTAGTACTAGCAGCGCCGGAGTAGAATTAGGAATGGGCGTATGAGTAGGAGTAGTGCCGCCGCCGCCGTCGTCGTCGTCGCCGCCGTCGTCGTCGTCGTCGTCGTCGTGGTCGTAGTAGTGTTAGTTCTTTCCGAGGGTGCTCTCGGTCAATTAAGTTCCCTGATTTTTGATTAGTCTTAATATAGGGCCCTTGAACAAGGATTCAAGCAAAACCTCAGAAAGCTAAGTAAGAATCTTAAAAAGAAACGATAAGGAAACTATATCGAAACTATAGCCGAACAATAGAACACTAAGCGCAGATACTTCTTTTTCCTCAGGGCTCTAAGATTGGGCATTGTTCCCACCACCTGAGCAATTGAACTCACTCCCTTGGCCTTGCGCACTACCCCCTCGAGAGGGCAGTGGGTGGCGGCGGCTGCGGCGGTGGTGGTGGTGGTGGTTGATATAGCGTCCTGATGTTTAAAACGGGTCGGGTTCAACAACAAAACAGGGAGGATGACCAATTAAAAGAACCACTCTGGGCGAGAGACAGCATTTTGCCCAATTCCGACCCTCATCCGTATAGGGGAAGAAGGCAAACTGTTTTAACAGTTTAACACGATTCCCATCCCCTTTGTGATTGCTCAGGATCTAACAATTCCATGCAATTCCTGGAGCAATTCCAACATTCCTCAGGAATGTTGGAATTGTTAGATCCTGAGCAATCAAAAAGGGGATGGGAATCGTTTTCTCAACTCCTCATTCCTCTCACCTTTGGAACTGTTCATGTTCGATGCGCGCGACGCTTGGTCCAAGGTTCGCCTCGGTCTCCGATCCCGGTCTGTCTGAAGGTGGCAGCGCCTCAGTTGCTGCTGTATGGAAGTGGGAAAGAAAGGGGAACTGGTGGAAAGCCTAAAGCGGAATTGATGGATGATGGTCAAAAGATGATGGTCAGAAGGTGGTTGATGGTCAAAAGATGGTGACTGCCAGAAGTAAAACCTGTTGAAAGATGGTGACTGCCAGGGCGTGTGGCTTCCATATTTTCGGGCGCCACACTCAAACCCCAGTGGGCTTGGGTGTATGTTTCTTGACGGACATGACGTTCTTGGAGCCCGCAAAAGATCCCAAAAGTCTCCGTCACTTCTGGAGTACCCCCAAATAGAGAGACGGTTTCCAATACATGTTGTTCTATTTACTAGTAGCGATGCCCTTGTTCCTAGCCGTTTCTTATTAGCAATGGCCTCCAACCTAATAGTGATGGCCTCCAATCATGCTAGTACCTTCTTGCCATATGGTGGTTTGGTGAGGGGGTCCAACAAATCCCAGACACTCCATGGGACTGCCACATATGCCGATCAGTTGGGGTGGTGCCAGGGGGGTCTGTTTGGGGCATAGATTCCAGGGTCATGGAGTGTCTGGGAATCAGATTTCGTTCCCGACATCGGCCTTGCCGATCTTCGGATTTCACCCCCTCCGGGGCTCAGGAGATTCTCCAAGCAAGGCGAGCAAGGCGAGGCCACCGAGCCGAAAGATGAGATGACGTTCCGCAGCACGCCATGGCGTTGGAGGGAGGGTGAGGGGGGGAAGGCTCGATGGACCCATGAAGTCCGTTGATGGCGTTGAGGAAGGAACGAAGTCCAAGCGCGATAGACAGGTGCACGGTGGACCCAAGACTTAGCATAGCTGGTCCAGGTCCATCGTGTTGCGGTCGTGCAGCCAGGAGCTACTAGTAACTTCTTACTACTATAGTAGTAGTGGCCTCCACCCTAGTAGCGATCGCCTCCAACCTAACCAGTAGCTTCTTGTTCCTAGTAGCAGTGGGGTCTCTAGTGTTCGAACCACCACCTGAAAGCCCATGTGTTCAAAGCTGATGCCTAGATTCAAATCTTTCAGTGCCCTCCTGCGGAGTCCAGCGGCCTCAAACTGGCGCCTTTGAAGCATGGATGTTCAATCACCCTAATGTGTATAGACACATGTCGACTGTTGATTCATGAAACCCTCCATATGAATCTATCTGAAGCACTTTTGGAAAACCAATTTTTGATATTCAAAAGTGAATCCACATTCTACGCCTCATACGTCGCTTCTCATCGGCTCGAGAGAGATTGATGGAGCCGATGATGTCCGACTTAGCTTCGGTGCCGCAGTGGCTTCCCCAGACCTGGGATTCCAGCGATGCAGTGCATGGGCATTTGGTGGAAGCCTCCAGAGCTTTGAAGGAGCCAGGCCGCTTTGAAGCGCCTCGGAGCCGCCGCACGCCGCCGCACGCCGCGATCGATCGGGTCACGATCTGACACGTTGAGCGGGCGCGGGCCCACAGCCCCAGGGTCAGGCTGGTGTGGGGATCAGGTCGGTCAAGCATCTACCACCCAAAAAGGCAAACCACTTGCAATCATTTTGATGGTGCCAGATGTTTGTGACTCTACACGCCCTTTGCAATCATCATGGAGCTGGATGGCACCACTGATTTGTAGAGGACAGTGACGTCATCCTTTTGGAACCATCCACGTAACCATGATGATTCCACGGGATGTAACATTGGTCACCGAACATCCTGCCAGATGTGTCTGAATTGGACCTCCCTTTGGTCCAGATCCCGACGAACCATGGCTTCGAACAAGTTTGGGTCTCCAAACTTCATGTCTGACGGATTTCGCCAAGCTGCCAGGCTATCCATATATATATATATCCCCTCATCTCCCCGAGCCTTTCCCGGAGCCTTTCACGGGGCAACAGCCCTGGCCGCACTGAGGAAGCCTTACAACACTTTCGTGCGGCCTACGAGAAGCACTTGCAGGACGTCGACGTCGGTTCGGTTCGGTCGGTTCGGTTCGGTTCGGAAACGAAGGTCCGGTGGTCCGGTGGCATCTACTTGGGTCGTATCTTGGGATGTTTTGGGCAGACGTGATGCTTCAGACACCTGGCACTTTGGTGCCAGACACCTGCTACTTTGTTGTTCATGGCGTGTGGCTCAAAGTTTCGCTACACTCAAGAGCGCCACATAAAGAGCTGTGTGCCTCTTTCATGCCTTGCATGGTTCAGGAATGAGTGGTTTGCAGGCAGCGCAACAACTCCAAGGAAGAGAAATCCCCATTGAAATTTCCATAGAAGATGGTGCCAAAGGGGTTGAAACGAGGCATTTTAATAGTGGTTCGGTGCTATATGAAGAATGGATGAAGAGAATATGTTTTGTTTTTTAATGGGCCAAGTCGCCCAGTCGCCCACATGTCCACCCAGTCCCCATCATGCCCGTGCGACCGGACGACGAAGCGAAGCAAAGGACTTACCGCCGACGGGCGCCGAAGGTGCCCGGCACGGTCCGTAGACGTAGACCGGTGCTGGGCACGCCTGGTCTGGTGCCCTTTGGTGTTAGCTCCGAATTCCGTGCAGGATCTGACTCGACCGCACCTGAGCTTTTCCTGCCTCTTCCCGCTCTTCTCCTCCTTGCGGCTGTCCGATGCGCCCGAGCACGGCACGAGGGGACAGATCGCTTGCTGTGAGGATCACATTAGCGATGCGCGCCTCGGTGTGTACGGCTCACCTCGCTATGAACTATGTACCAGGGCTCCCAGGCCATGGGGTGTCTAATAGGGACTATAAGGGGTGTCCATTAACCACCCCTTAGGGGACCCTGGCACGGTTTGCTTGGTTGTGGAGATGGCTCGGCTGACCTCCCACCATCACCGAGAAACATGACGTGTGATCAAAGCAATGGATGCACTTGGGCATCACAGAAGCTATATAGCCATGTGATACCGATGAATCTCCGAGTGATCTCTAATGATGCTCTCGAGGGCTTTCAAGTCCTATAGAGGTTGAAACATCTTGAAACTTGAAGGACTTACATTCTCAGTGCTTACATTCTCAGTGCCTTCTCCTGGTCATCAGTTTCGTCGGCCATTATTTAAATCCGGCCTGACCCCAATGGATCAAAGAAACATGGTTTCTCAGATGATCGCTGTGACTTAGGGTTCTGGAGGTGATGTTTGATTGGTTTGAGGGCTTTGCGGGAAGTTGGTGTGGCCATTGCTGTGGCTTATGGTTCTGGAGGTGATGTGTCATTGGCGCGAGGGTTTTGCAGGAAGAAGTCGGTGTGGCTGATGCTTTAGGCACTTCACAGTTCTATACATATACCCCCTTCGGCTTTGGGCCAGGAACATGACTGTGAAATCGACCCAGAGCAAGACAACATCCAAGCTCATTAGAAACCCAGCTGATTATCATGCGATACCATTCGCAAAGCCACCTATGTAGCTTTTTGGAACTCGAACCCCTCCCGCCCACCGCGGTGTTCGACCGCAACCCGCTGAGGTTCACGTGCTGCCGCGCCTTGTTGGAGTCTTTGGCTAGCAGCTTCACGGACCCGCCTTCGGACAGCCCTCCAGAGGGCTGCTCGCGGCAGCGGTTTGTCCATGAACTTGGTGCTCAAGCAGGCCGGTGGGACTAGGATTAGGACTTCACGTTGCTCTGTAACGCTGAGTACTGTGGTTCATGGTTGTTTAGACATGTTAAATCGACATGTTGGGGTAAGAACACCTCAAATAAATGTTGAGATGTGTTGAACGGCTTAGGTCTTAAGTTCTTGCATGGGTTACTGCATGCAGGAATAGGACATGTCGCGCCCCCTGGGTGGTTCTTTGTATGCCGTGTGTGGGTCGTTTGCTCCGAGACCACCCCACCCTTGTCAGAGTTTGTCCATTCAGGCCTGCCTCAGGCCGGCCCAAAGCACCACAATATTTAGCCCTGTTTAGGTGTTTTGGTCGGATGTCACTCTATGTCATGCTCCATTCCGAACTTTGCTATCTGAAGCCTACCAAATGGACTGCATGCCGAGGCCACCGATCAGTTGATGAATGATTGTCGGTGTTGACCTCCGTGGACACTGAACGAAGCTGCAAACATGTACAAAAGAAGAGGTCCTAACCAGGAGTCACAGAGGGGTGGTGTTTGGTCTCCAAGTGAGTGGATAATGGGCACCCCTAACTTCCATGGATCGCACCCCGTCTTGTGACTCCTGGAAGGTCCTGGTTGATGGGCGGCTTCCATTTTCGGGCAACATTTGTGGAGGCTGCAGGTGTATTTTTATGATGGAGGCGCTCACACCCCCCATCTTAAGAGGTCCGCAATCCTCAGCCCGCTGTATTTAGCAGGAGTGTATTTGGACATGGTGCGGCTGGGCCACGCTCACCGTCGGAAGAAGACGAAGGCAGGTGGCCGGAAGTTTAGAAGAAACATGAAGAAACATGGGAAAAAAGCAATGCTGCCGTCTTTTTTCAAGCAGCAGGGGAAACTTATCTTTTCTTGTTGGGCCTTGTTGTCATATCAATCCACCTGCTCATGAAACATATTTCCATGTCAATCCACCCCAAAGTTATTTCATGTCAATCCACTTGCTCCCATCTCCCTTTTGAACCCACCTGCTCGTGTGTGGAACCTGGTGGACGTATCGACGTATTCGATATATGGACTCTCCGGTGTGGACCGAAGGGGTTGGTGAAATGACAACATCCAGAGCATTAGGATCTAGGACACCCTAATGATGCTGGATCAAATAGGACACCCTAATGATACCCTAATGATCTAGCCTAGGCTTCCAGACATCCAGAGCTTCCCTAATGATACATATTAGATCTATACCAGGACCCTCCAGGACCGGGGTGCCCTGTCTGGAAGCCGTAGTTGCCGGTAGGGTGGGGTAGTCCAGGACCCTCGGACACCCCGACAGGAGGGTCCTGGTATATCATTTAATATAGATCTACATCATCTAATATCAGATGAAGTCCAGATTGTTTCTTTGATTCATTAGATTCGATGATATCAGATGTATACAACTCAGATCCAGTCATCCAATGTCAGGGTCTGACATGACGGCGCCATTCACGAAGCACTAAGCAAGGTGATCCTCCAAACCTGTATGGTTGCCCCCCGCTCAAGTTTCCAATTCTTTTCAGCCTCGATTCGACCAACTGGCGCAACTGGGGCGTTTCTGGGCATCATGTTGAACCGGGAGGTGGGTGTGTGTTGGTGCGGGTCTTTTTGGTGGGACTAGTTCTAGTTCTAGGATGCATGATTTAAACAATCGATTCTGAGCTCAGGGGTGTGCAAATGCCACGTTCTTTTTGCTTCAGGTCCCCTGTCAACCTTCGCTATTGACTGGAAGTTGGGTGCAATCACCTGGGTTCCCCGCTTGGCAGTCCCACCCACCAATCACTCAAGCATGTAGTTGCTGCATCAGCAAACATCAAGGGCTATCATAAATTCAGATTGTGGACTCTTGATTCTACTTCAACTTCCCCAGACGGTTTCAGGCTTGGGTGATTGGATGAATCAAGAATCAAGAGTCTACATGGCACCTCAAGCTGGGGGGGGTCCTATTACCTCTAACAGTTGGTAAACAAGCAGATCACTGTCTAGAGGAAGCCCTGCAACTGAACCACCAACATCCACTGGGCCCTGGTCTATCATAATGTTATATATTATGTTCAATATATATATATATATCACCTTGGA